CCCCCAATCTGCCCTCCCTTCTATCATCCCCCCTCTTATCCTCTTCCCCCATATTTTCCTTTAGGGTAAGATAGATTTCCATGCCCAATTGAGTGTGTATGGTATTCCCTCCTTAAGCCAAATCCCCATGAGAATAAGATTCACTCATTCCCTCTCACATTCCCCCACTTCCCCTCTCCTATAAAAGCTTTGTCTTATCTGTTTAATGTGAGATAATTTACCCCATTCTACTTCTCCCTTTCTCCTTCTCTCAGTATAATCTTCTCTCACCCCTTAATTTTATTCTCTAGATATCACCCATTCATCTTCAACTCACCCTGTGCCGTCTATCTGTCAATAAATCTATACATATGATTTTTTTCCCCCTCCAACTACCCTAATACTGACAAAGGTCTCATGAATTACAAATATCATCTTTCCATGCAGGATTTTAATAAGTCCCTTATGATTTCTCTTTCCTGTTTACCTCTTCATGTTTCTTTTGAGTCTTGTATTTGAAAGTCAAATTTTCTATTCAGTTCTGGTCTTTTCATCAAGAATGATTGAAAGTCCTCTATTTCACTGAATATCCATTTTTTCCCCCTGAAGGATTATACTCGCTTTCGTTGGGTAGGAGATTCTTGGTTGTAATCCTATCTCCTTTGACCTCTGGAATATCATATTCCAAGCCCTCTAGTCCCTTAATGTAGAAGTTGCTAAATCTTGTGTTATCCCAATTGTGTTTCCAGAATACTTGGATTGTTTCTTTTTGGCTGCTTGCAATATTTTCTTCTTCACCTGGGAACTCTGGAATTTGGCTACAATATTCCTAGGAGTTTTCCTTTGGGGACCCCTTTCAGAAGGTGATTGATGGATTCTTTCCATTTCTATTTTACCCTCTGGTTCTAGAATATCAGGGCACTTTTCCTTGATAATTTCTTGAAAGATGAAATCTAGATTCTTTTTCTGGTCATGGCTTTTAAGTAGTCTAGTAATTTTTAAATTATCTCTCCTGGATCTATTTTCCAGGTCAGTTGTTTTTCCAATGAGATATTTCACATTGTCTTCTATTTTTTAATTCTTTTGGTTTTGTTTTACAAGGTCTTGATTTCTCATACAGTCATTAGCTTCCATTTGCTCTATTCTAATTTTTAAGGAAGTATTTTCTTCAGTGAGTTTTTATTCTTCCTTTTCCATTTGGCCAATTCTGCTTTTTAAGGCATTCTTCTCTTCATTGGCTTTTTGGAGCTCTTTTGCCATTTGGGTTAGGCTGTTTTTTAAGGTGTTATTTTCTTCAGTATTTTTTTGGGCCTCCTTTAGCAAGCTTTGATAAGTTTTTCATGATTTTCTTGCATCACTGTCATTTCTCTTCCCAGTTTTTCCTCTACTTCTCTTACTTGCTTGTCAAAATCCTTTTTGAGCTCTTCTATGGCCTGGGACTGATTCATATTTTTCTAGGAGGCTTTGGATGTAGGAGCTTTGACTTTATTGTCTTCTTCTGGTTGTATGTTTTGATCTTCTTTGTCACCAAAGTAAGATTCTATGGTCTGACTTTTTTTTGAGGTTTAATCATTATCCTAGCCAATTACTTGAATTATAAACTCTTTGTTAAGGTAGGGGTCTGCTTCCAGGGTGGAGAATGTACTGTCCCAAGCTTCGGGGGCTTTGTGCAGCTGTTTTCAGAGATAATTCTAAGGACCTGTAAATTTTCAGTTTTCCAAGGTGGTATGATAAGGGTGAGGTGTTTACTCCTTTCCTGGCCTGTGCTCTGGTCTATGACTGACCACAAGCCTTTATTTATTCTGCCTTTTTTTTTTAATTTTTAGGCAACTGGGGTTAAGTGACTTGCCCAGGGTCACACAGCTAGTCAGTGTCAAGTGTTTGGTCTGAGGCCGGATAACTCAGGTTCTCCTGACTTCAGGGCCGGTGCTCTATCCACTGAGCCACCTAGCTGCCCCTCTTTATTCTGCCTTGGAACTGTGAGGAAGATTCCCTCTCCATCGCCACCACAAGCTCCACCATGCCAATGTTCCTCCTCACCCTAGGACTGCCACTCAGAACTTTGATCCACATCCAAGCACAGGCAAATCAAGAGAATCCTGCATCAGTGGCAGCAAAGAGATCCCTGCAACTCTCCCTCTATCAGCCACTTGATCCCCCCTCTGTCTGTGGGCCAAGAGCTCTGGATGCAGCCACCACCCCAGGGCTGCGCCAGGACTGGGGCTGGACTGAGCTCCTCTCTCACCACAGTTGATAGATCTTTCCTACAGACCTTCTAAGTTGTCTTTGGTGTTTGTGGGTTGAGAAGTCTGGAAACCGCCACAGCTGCCCGAGATTCAGTCCTCTGAGGCCTGGTCTTTGCTGGCATGGCCTATGCTGAGCTGTCTCCTCTCCCAGCCTGGTGCAATAGACCTTTCCAATCAACCATCCAGGGTGCCTGGGATGGAAATTTGTCTCACTCTGTCTTTTTGTGGGTTCTGCTGCTCTAGAATTTGTTTAGAGTCATTTTTTATGAGTATTTGGAGGGGTTTGGGGAGAGCTCAAGCAAGTCACTGCTTTTACTCTGCCATCTTGGCTCCACCCCCTAATTTTCTTTCATATCCCTTATAGCACTTAGCTCAGGGCCTTCCTTACACATACTAGATGCTAAATACATTTTGTGGGTTCAATTTATTGACATTTTTGTTGCCTCATTCCTCTCCTCAAAAACTTCAATATTTTATGTCCTGACCAATGCTTCACAGTAAAGTTTCTACAACTAAGCCTCACTTTGACTTTGAGGAACCCTGTTGTACCCCTTTAGGATTACAGTCTATTGATAACCATAGAACCAAATGCTCCTGGTAATATTGTTTCCCCTGTACCATAGAACTATATTAAAGGGCTATATGTCGTCTTGTTGTATAATAATTGACTGTGATCATAGAATCATAGATTTAGAGTCTGAAGAGGATCTTAGAGGCCATGTACTCCCACCCCCTCCTTTTACAGATAAGGTAACTGAGGCTCAGAGAGACTGACTTGTCTAAGTCATACAATGAATAGCAGAGCTAGGTTTTGAGAAGTTAAATGACTCAGGAGTTGGGGGAAGGGGTCTTCACATAGCCAGTATGTGTATGTCAGAGGTATGATATTACTAGACATCTGAACCAAATGTTCCTGTGCACCCTGGCTGAAAACTGCTTAGAGGAATGGCATAGGACATTTTACTCTTACTCTGTAATAAGCAGAGGGATTGAGCACTGTCATAAGTTGGCCATATATATCACAGAATCTAGGTCACAGATATTCCCTGGTATGGCTTTAAAGCTCAGAGAATAATAATAATAGCTAACATTTATATAGTACTTGGTACATTCTAGGCATTGTGCTAAGTGCTTTACCATTGTTTCCTCTTTGGATCCTCACAACAACTCTGGGACATAGGTGCTATTATATCTGCATTTTACAGATGGGGAAACTGAGGCAAATAAAGGTTAAGTGACATGCCTAGGGTCACACAGCTAGAAGCATCTGAGGTCGAATTTGAAGTCAGGTCTTCCTGACTTAAGGCTCAGCACTCTAGTCACTTCACCACCCTCCAGAGAGGCTGGTGGCTCCTGTGGAAACAATGCCACGCTGGGGAACCTGTTTTTAAAATCTGCCTCTGGCAAGTAACTTAAGGCTCTCTGAGCCTGTCTCCTTCTCTGAAAAATTGGGATGACAACATGTGTATTACTTACCTCATAGGATGGTTGTGTGGGGACACTGCCTTTTAATCTGTGCAGGGCTACAGAAATTCGAATACTTTTTACAGTGTCTTGCCCATAGCTGACACTTAATACATGTCTATTGGACTGAATTTGGTTGAACTCATTTTACGGAAATCTGAAGCTCATTCAGATAAAGAGATTTGACCAAGGCCATTCAGTTAGTTAGTGGCAGAGTTAATGCTGGAAGCCAGACCTCTTGATTCCCAATCTGGTACAGTGGAAAGAGTCCTGGATTGAGTCCTTTTCTCAGCCTCACTCTGTTTCTTTCTACCTGGTGACGCTGGGCAAATCATTTGACTTTTCCAGTCCTTCACTTTCTAATCTGTAAAATGAGTCAGACTAAATGCCCCTTTGCCCTTCTTCCCTTAAGGCAGATTGGTGGCACAGTGGACAGAGAGCTGGGCCTGGAGTAAGGAAGACTTGAGTTAAAATTCTGCCTCAGATGCTTACTAGCTGAGTGACCCTGGGTAAGTAACCCTGTTTGAGTCTGTTTCCTCCACTGTAAAATGAGCTGGAGAAGGAAATGGCAAACCACTCCAGTATCTTTGCCAAGAAAACCCCAAAAGGGGTCGCTAAGAGTTGGACACAACTGAACAACACTTCCAGCTCTAAATTTATGATTATTGTCCTTTTCCTTGACATCACAGATACCTGTAGTCCATGTGGAGGCTGTGAATTCAAATCTTGTATCTTCTGAAGCTGAAGACTGAAGCTCTCCCTCTGTTTTTCTGTCTCACTCCAGAGACAGTGTATGTGTGCTGCATGCTCTGTGTATGTGTGCATGTAGTATGTGTGTATATGTGTTCCCTAGGCAGCCACAGGAGACAGAATGCTGGGCCTGGAGTCAGGCAGACCTGAATTCAAATTCAGCTTCAGACGCTTACTAGTTGTCATTAACCCCTGTTTTTCTTATACACGGTTGTAGAAAATGGCAAACCACTCCAGTATGTTTGCTAAGAAAACCCCATGAACAGCATGATCAATAGGGTCATGTGGAATCAGGCATGAATGAAAAACCACGTGTGCCCTCTTTCAGTGCTCACGAAGCTTCCATGAAGGTGACAGCTTCCTTGGCCCTCAAAGAGGTTTCCAGTCTATAGCTGGAGGAAAGCAAATACACTCGGTCCCTTTAAGAGATCCCGCCCACTCACCGAAGCCGGGCTCTGGAAAGGGCCCCGGGTGCTTGGGAACCTGGGCAATCCCGTATTAAAAGGGTCGTCTTGCGTCACTCTCCTCCCCAGCCAATCAGAATGGAACCTGAAGGCACGCATTACTAAGGCGACGGGAGAGACGCCTCCCGGCAGGAGCGAACTTGCTGCCGCTTCGGCCTCGAGGTCGTGACCCCTCGCGGCTTCCTTATCTCGCCCACTCCTCCGGTACCAGTTCCTGGGCGGCTGTCCTGTCGTCCATCCTAAGTCCGCCGGCAGGGCGGACGTCAGAGCTGTCAAGTGCCCACGGGGGCGACGAAGATGGCGGCGGCGGCGGCGGTTGGGGGGACCCCCTTCCCAGCAGCCGGGAAGCTGTAACATGAACTCTTCTGCGCCAGCCGCGCCCCAGCTCCTGGGACTCCGACCCCGCACGGCCGCGGGCCCCGAATAACGGGCGCTCGCCTGGGCAGAGCTGGTGTCGCCGCGCTGCTGGCGGCGTCACCCGCTCAGGTGAGTGGGCGCGCGGGGCCGGGCAGCGGGCGGGTTATCCGCGGGAGCGAGCGTGATCGCCGATGTTCATAAACACGGAGCGGAGCGGCCACGGCGTTCGTGGAAACGGGCCTTGGAAACCCGGCTCCGGCCGAAGCCCGTTCTGGGGCGTGCGGGGCCGTCGGCTAGCCGGCCGTCCGGTACGGTCCTGTCCAGGGCTGTCCAGACGCGGAAGAGCAGCCAGCCGGAAAGAGAAGTGCATGCACGGGGCACCTTAATTCGACCCCGACCTGGAGGATAAAGAGCGGCCAGGGCCTGGCGTCTGGCATCTGGGCGTCGTTACCTCGTGCAGTGCCTCTACCCTCCCTCTCTCCCTCTCTCCCTCCTGCCCGCCCCTCTGGCTCCCTAGATTCCTTCAGGCTCAAGCTCGTGTGTCATCATCTGCTTCAGGAAGCCTTTGCCCGATCCCCTTAGTTGTGAAGGCTCCTTCCTCTCCAAGTTAGCATATTCGTTCAACAAGCACTTTTTTTTTGTTTAAAGATTTAATTGGGCGCATTCTGGCCCTGTGCGCGATACTGGAGATACAAAGACAAAATTGAAAGTCTGCCCAATGGGAACTTACATTCTTTTGGAAACGGAAAGTTTTCTCACTTCTCCCTCCCCTGTTGGAGTTGTAAGTTATATGAGGTCAGGGACTGAATGTTTTTCGATTTTGTCATTGTATTCTTAGGGTGTAGAGCAGATTTTCTTGCACTTGATCCGCACTTAGATGCTAGTTAGATTTGATTGCATGGATTTCACATTTAGTTGGAAGTTTATATCCGCTGTTGGATTAGTTGAGTAGGAATCTGTGGAGGATGTATTCGTATTAAACACGCCTGACCCTGAAGTGCTGCTGAAAATTGCAACTTGTTATGGCTCTGGAATTAGAGTATTTGCCATTCATAACACAGTATACGACTTTACAAATACAAGGTAGAGGTGATGGGTACAGAAAACAGTTCCTCAGAAAATAAAATCTGAGAGGATTAGTGTACTTCAAGCTCAATGAGTCAACATTTCGATATTATGGTTTAATCTTGCATTAGAGTTTGACTGCCATAGGAGAGACATGGTGTCTAGGAGAAGGGAAGTGATGGTTCTTTGGAGTGTTAGATTTTGGGAGGGAGGGCAACCAATATAGTATAAGGCTTCCAATTTTAGCCTGAGGAAAAAAAGACAAGTTAGGTGAAACATGATACTTAAAGATTTGAAGGACATAGAAGAGAGATTTGGCATTCTAGACTTGGCCAGGAACTAAGATCTGTGGGTTGAACTTGCAAATAAGCAAATTTAGGTTTCATGTCAGATTTAGGCCTAAGGTCAGAAAAGGAGGTAGTGAATTCCCTTTTGCTGGAGGTGTTCATGCAAGTATTACGTTGCTAATCAATCAATGAGCATTTCATTAAGTGCCTGCTGTGGGAATACAAAGACAAAACCCCAAAAGATCACTAGAATATATTGGATAGTGAATTATTGTTTAGGTATGGATTGGACTAAATGAACTTTGAAATCTGTTGAAATGCATTGGTTATTTAACAGCTGCGTCACTTGACATCAGATGAACCCTGTTGGGTAGGTTTTAAAAGACAGACACTGTTTGTTGATGACGTTGTGAATCGGTCCAGCCATTCTGGAAAGCATTGGGAATTATGCTAAAAGGCAACTAAAATGTCCACACCCTTTGACTTAGAGATCCTGCTGATAGTAATATACTCCAAGGAGTTCAAAGACATGAAGAAAAGTCTTCCATTATAGTCAAGATTTGCTACTTTTAATGGTAGCAAAGAATTAGGGGGGAAAATAAGTATCTAATAATTGAGGAATAGCTAAACAAACCATTGTACGTGAATACGATGGTATGTTTCTGGGCCATAGAAAAGATATATGTAAAAAGGTTAATCAGTGGAATTAGGTTAGATAGACAGTATAGAGAAGCAAATGAACCTCATAGTTTGGTGTTCAAAAACTCCAAGACTCCAGCTACTGTGGTCGGGACTGACTATTTGATAAAAGCTATTAGGAAAATTGGACAGTAGTCTAGCAGAAGTTAGGGGGCGGGGAACCTGTGGCCTGGAGGCCACATGTGGCCCTTAGGTCATCAAGTGGGGCCCATTGACTGAATCCAAACTTCACAGAACAAATCCCCTTAATAAAAGGATTTGTTCTGTAAAACTTGGACTCAGTCAAGAGGTGGCACCAAGGACCTAGGTCTAAACTTCAGACCAATATCTCACCCTGTATGCCAAGATCAGTTCTAAATGGATATATGACCTACATATAAATTAAGGTCATGTCTTAAACAACTTCCAGAGCCATAAAAAATGTAATTTTCAGCGTCCCTGGATTTGACCTTGCTGAAGTCGTGTTCCTTTCCTGGGAGCTGAGTCTCAGATCCTTCTGTGGAGATTGAAGTAACTACTGTGCCAAAGCTCTGTTCCTTATGTGACTGATGAAATCAAGGTCTGGAAACTCCTCTCCCCTGCCCCCCCCCCATTTCAGAGTGACAGACTTAGAACTCTGTGAGGGAGCCAGTCTGCACTACCCATTTCCACTGTGCTATCCTGGCTGGTCCATGTCCTCTGATTTTCAAAAGGGGAAAGGAAATAAAGTCTGCAAATTCATAAGTCAATGAATTTGACTTTGAGTTTGACACAATTCTTCATCTAAAGAGATGGTTGGGGATCATCAAGAAAAGGAAACGGTCAGTTTAAATCAGTATAATCAGTGTAAATCCCTTGATCTTAGAGTAGTCACAAAGCTTTATCAAGAACAAGTTATACCAGACTAACCTCATTCTTTTTTGAAAGGATTATTAAATTAATACTATTGATTGTGAAATTCCACAGACGTAGCATATCTCAAGTTTAGTAAAGGATTTCATGATTTCTCATGCTGTGCTCAAGATCTAGGCTAGATGATATAAATAGGAAAATTCAAAAGCAGTTGTATGATTAGGTTTATAGAATAGTTATCAATGGCTGCAGATCAACTTGGAAGGGAGCTTTCTAGAGGCTCTTTATTTGCCCCCCTGCTTTTTATAATTTTTATCAATGACTTAGTTGAAGGCTTATCTAGTAGTATGATTGTCAGATTTACAAATGATATAGTGTTAGGAGGGATAGGCAACACATTGAACCACAGACATATGATCTAAAAAGATCTTGATATATTCGAGTAATGGGTGATATTTTATAGGGATACATGTAAAATCTTTCACTTAATGTTTTTTTTTTAAATCATCTTTACAAGTATAGGATAGGGGAACTGTGGCTAGGTGACAGTTTGTTTGAAAAAAGATTTGAATGTTTTAGTAGAATATAAGTTCGGTATGAGTTAGCATTCTGACTTGGAAGCCAAAAATAAAAAAAAATAAAAAAAAAAAACAGTGTCATCTTAGGCTATATTGAAGGGCCTAATATTTGAATGAGAGGTATGTACTCTGTTCTGGTCAGACCACATTTGAAGCATCATATTTGACATTTCAGGAAAGACCTTGAAAAACTGGAGTGTGTCCAGAGAGGAATCTGACTGGAGATCAGGTCAGAGAAGAATTGGTTGAAGGAACTGAGAGTGAGTGACTCAAAGAAATGAAGATTTACCAGGGGACAAAGCGTCATCATTTGAGAGCTGAAAGAGATCCTCCAGATCAGTTAGTCCAACCAGCTTTCTTACTGTAGTTGAAGAATTGTCCAGTGGAAGAAGGATTCAAATTGTTCTGTTTGACCCCTTGGGACACAGCTAGGAAAAGAATTGGGAAGTTGGAGAGACAAAGATTTTGGCTTGATGTAAAGAACAACTTCCTAAAAGTATTGTCCACAAATGGAATTTTCTGTTTCAGGAGGTAACAGGGTTGAGGGAATGTTTTTCCAGCTAAGATTCCTCTATACTCTTGGTCTATAAATGGAGATTTGTTGGTAGTTGTCACAAGTGAAAATTCTACTTCAGATATAAGTTTAATTAGATTCTGTCAGAAGTCCTTTCCAATTCTTTTTTTTAAATATAATTTTATTTCTTTGTTTTTATTTTTCAGTATTCATTTCTATAAGATTTTGAGTTCTAAATTTTCTCTCCCTCCCTCTGCTCTTTATTCCCCAAGATGGCATACAACCTGATATTGGCTATACATGTACAATCATAAGGAAAAACCACGAGAAAGAAGAAACAAAAAAAAAGAGAGAAAGTAGTGTGCTTCAATCTGCATTCAGACTCCATAATTCTTTCTCTGGATGTGGATAGCATTTTCCATCATGAATCTTTTAGTTCTTTCCAATTCTAAGGATTTGTGATTCTATACTATAGTGATGGTAGTTGAAGTCAGTCATAATAGATATGGTCTAAAAGTGTAGAGTTTGAAGGCAGATGGTTGAGAATTGAGCCTTGTTTTATACCCACATTTTTTTTGTTGTTGTTGTTATTGTTCAGCCATGTCCAACTCTTTGTGACCCCATTTGGGGTTTTCTTGGCAAAGATGCTGGAGTGATTTGCCATTTCCAGATTGTCTTACAGAGGAGGAAACTGAGTTAAACAGGGTTAAGTGACTTGCCCAGGGTCAGTAAGTATCAGAGGCTAGATTTGAACTCAAGAAGATCAAGTCTTCCTGACTCCAAGCCTGGTGTTCTATCTACTTCACCACCTAGCTACTCACCCACATTTAGAGTTTTAGGAATTAATCCAGTGGAGGAGAAGAAGCAATGCAGTCTGTGGAAAGCTAGTGGAAGAGAGGTTCAAAGAGCTGTGATCAGCTCTTTGTTGTATACCACAGGGCCTTGATGTCCATTCTCTCTGGAGAATTCTGGTTCGTGGTGTGGTGGTGTTAAATATTACAGAGAAGTCAAGAAAAGGAGGACTAAGGGCTTTTGAGTTTATTAAGTAGGAGGAGGTGACTGATTTTGTTGGAGAGTCCAGTTTCAGTCCAGTGGTGGGGCAGAAGCTAGATTTTAGAGTATAAAGGGAATGTAGAAGTCATTTTTTACAAATGA